CGGCGGCACGGCGGCGTCCGTCTCGGCCGAAGGGCGCTACCGCGTTGTCTCCCGTTTTCTCCCGCAGCTCTGAGGCGAGGCTTTGTCCTTCCCTCCGCGCCGCTGTGATTCACCTCGGCAGGTCACGCCGGGCGGTTTTCCGAGTCCTGCTGCCCCTCGTCCGTCTCCAAGCCCTAGAGGAGGGTTGGGAGCGCTCGGCCGCGCGGGGGCCGCGTCCCGGTCCCGGTCCCGGTCCCGGTCCCTGGAAGCCGCTCGCCTCCCGGCCGGCGGCGGTCTGCCCGCTCGCACGTTCCCGCACATCACCCGGGATGCGTTCGCTACCCCCCGCCACCAGCTCTGGTTTTTGGCATTAGTGCCTCCCAGCTACTCAGGGGATAGCACGGGGATCCGTGCTGTGCTGCCCTGTCAGACGTGCAACGAAGAGCACAGAATACCGTCGTCTGCGGCTGAAACGAGATGGGGAGCTGCTGAAAACACCCCTTGACGACAAATAAGCCAGGAAAGAAACAACTGGTGACAAAAATACAGACAGGAACTATCAAAATGAAAGATGGGTCAAATATTTAGAGGCACAAACCAATAATAATCAGAAGCAAAGAGTCAGTGACAAGAAAAGAAGTTTAGAAGAAAAAAATGCAAAAAAACCCAACAGAAATCATAGTAAGATTGCAGAGGTGTTGGCAATGCAATGCGGTAGCCCTGTAGCCGAACCTACCAGGCGTCCAGCAACATGCTCAGTTCGTTCAGGATACAGACAACGCCTGTATGCTTATTTGCCTTGCCTAGCCTCATGGGAGCTTTGCGCGTTACAATGACACAGGTAGCAGCATCAAAAATGAATCTAGAAATTCAAGGAAGAGTAGAGAAGCAGAGGGCATAGGGTTTGACTTGTAAGGAAAGACGACGGGAAGGGTTATCCAGACCTTGACCATACAATGTATAGTCAACCCAAGGAGGTAAGCACAAGAACTGCTTGTACTTGATGTTTTGCCAATAGATGTGTAGGAAGAGGTTCCCTTCAGAAAGAGGGAGGCTATGTGCCCCTGCCCAAGATCAGGCCTCAGTCACTGCCCCTAACTGGTTTTCTTTGTGCCCTTTCCATGACCAGAAAAAGGACCGCAGCTGGCAACTCAAGCCTTCCCCAGCAAAGCGGCAAATTCCTCTCCTGAGTCTAGAACCCAGCCCTTCAGGTTTATGCATTCAAAGGAGCATTTCACGCGTCGGGCCCCCAGGGTGCCAGAGACATGCAAAGATATAATGCTGGAGGCCAACCAACGATCTGATGAGGTATTTTGGATGATGTAGTAAGATGTGATACTACGATCAAGATCCTGGATACAACAGAATCCATCTGAAAAGGATTGCAGAAGTGATCCCCAAATGCTTATGTTGGTTTTCTAGCACTAAGTCTTTGGCTTCCAAAGCTGGTCTTGAAAAACTAAATGAAACCAAGCTCACGTGCTACTTCTGTGTTTTACCGCTGTGATCTTTTCTTCATTTGCAAAGCTAACAAATTCTCTTCCTCTGACCATCAGGCTAATAACAGAAGTTGGAATATAGGCGTCAGGGATAACCTTAGACCTTTTGTGACTGCGGGACAGTCTAATCTTCTAGAATGCTGCAAGTTTAACTTTTAGTTTAGTTTTAGCTTTACTTTTACATTACTGTTATGACTTCATTGTTAAAAATAGCTCTTAATGGACAAGTCCTGCGTACCCATTATGAACCCACGAGGATCATTCACACAGATGTGCTTCCAAAATCAAAGCCTGTTAGTGGCTTATACCAAATACTTTATACTGACATTTAAAAAAAAAATACCCACATAGAGCAATTGCTATTAAATTGCTATTAAAAAGGCTTATTTTGAAATATCTAATACTAATCTAACGTTTGATTCTGAGTGACAACTTCTGCTATTTTCTCTGTTGGAAATGGCACGAGCTTTTGAATTGCGTTGGTTCCCTTAGAGTCTGCAATCCCTGCTGACTAGGAGACTCTCACAAGTCCAGGCCATCCTTCCAGGTCCCACGGTTATCCAAATGCAAGGACTCAGCCATGAGTGCCACTAAATCAAACCTACCTTAATGACTCTACAAAAGTTACATGGTGCAATCTTCTGTTAAATGTCCCATTTGTTCCAATCAATTTATTTCTGGGACAAAAATGCAAGAGGTAGAGCTAAGCTCTTGCCATAATAAAAAAAATCCTAAGTGAAAAAAGTAAAATAACAGAAACACAGGAAACAATACTTCACATTTATAAGGCACTTTCCATCTCTACCACATTCCTACATCTTTAATACCGCAAAGTTTAGAGATATTAATCACATGTGACTTTTGACACGCGTCCAAAGGGCGTATAGAGCACATACCATAGTGAGTTGGGACCTCTCCTTTGCCAGAAAGTGACCACACAGAAAATCGCACAAGAGAGAAACTGGCGCAAAGCATATTAGAAAGTACATCTCTAGCCATCGCTTTTCCTTTTCAGCTGTTTACAAATCACAACTTGTAAGGTCTCCAGAATCAATCATCTGGGAACTCATCTACTTGCCGCTTATTACATTATTTTTTCCTGACTGCTTCAGGCTGTTTTGAAAGCTTCAGCTATTAAAATAGCTATCCTACAGCCAGCCCCAGGCAGGAGGAGGAGTCTTTCCACAGAGAACTCTTTGCAGGGTTGGGCCTAGAGCCCAGATTTTCAAAGGGGTTTAGCTGCCTGCAGATGTAGGTAAGGGCTCAGCGGGGTTTCCGCAAGCTCCTAATTCTTGGTGCTACGTGTCTGTGCTACGAGTTACTGCAACAGTTTTGAGAAAACTTTCTTTGGATGCTCAGTTTGCACAGAGATCAAACTCTCTGAAAGTGTCAGTGTTTTTTCTCCTCTGTTGTCTCATTTCAATTGGACAGTTAAGAGAAATAATTTGGAAAAAAAAAAACAACCTAGAATTTAGAGGTATTTTCCAAACCCAACTGTAAGAGAAGGACATATGCTACAAATACAACAGAGAGGCTTGACAAAGGAACATCTATGATCTGCATTAGGAAGTCAAATGACATGATCACAGTAATAATTTCCAGCTTTAGAAAGCTAAAAAAAAAAAAAACCAAACCCAACCGAAACCACCCCAAAATCCAACCCCCCACCACAGGTATTTGGACTTATGTTGCTGCATACAATTCCAGTATTGAGCTGCTTCATTCTTGCTTTACAGAGGCAAGGTTTTTTTAATATTAGTAGCATTGTTGTTTACACCAGCACAACAGTGGACTCTGACCCCATATGTAAAATACAAAGTATAGTAGTGGACAAAAAGCTGATTAAATCATGGTCATCAACCGCCAGATATAATGTTTTGAACTCTTGTTTGTACTTGTCTACTTTATTTACAATATAGCATGCAACATAACAACGACCGGCCTGTGAGGATTAAGCTTTGGCTCTGGTCTCCAGTTTGTAGGCTATATTTTTCAGTGTGGGTATTGGTGTTGCTTAATGCTATGACTGCAGTTTCTTGGCTTTTTTGGAATACACCTAATGCATTACAAAGTTACCCCTAGTAATAAATAACGTGTAGTTTGCTGCTACGGGGGAAAGGCGATTAAAAGCGTTCAAAACCACTGCTTACTTCTCAGTGCTCCTAACTGCTTGCATAGGTAACTTTCTGGTTTTGTTCTCTTACAAATACTGATAACATGGAAAATTTTCTCATAGAACAGGAAAAGGGCGTTTTATGTTATTTCTAGTGCACAGATGGTGGGGAACATTTTATCTTTGTAAGAAAAGCCTTTTCGGTGGTTCATAAAGATACTCAAATGTAAAACTTAGTGCAGCACACATCAAAAAAAGTGTGGGGGGGTTGAGATCGGTGAGTAGACAGAGATCTACAACTTGTAACTGCCCATTGCAGGTAGGATTAGGAAGAAAATGGACAGGTATGCAATATTTCATCTTAAGCAAGCCCCACTCTAGAATGTAAATATTTTGAGTGATTTCCAAGCGCCACTGTAGTTTAAGGCTAAACATTCATCCACTTATTAGGAACCAGGAAAGTTGAATTTTGCCACTATTTCTACATCTGGGAACTCAGAGCTAGGCTTAATTTTTTTTTTTTTTCCCCTGCATGACACCTTTTATTTAAGCCACCCAGCCTGCTAGATCTGAGATCCCATGCTGTTCTTCAGGCTTTAAATGTGCAACCCGCAGCTCCATCTCTGCTGGGAGTCATGGACTCCTCGCATAATTTCTTTGATGACAATATGACAAGAAAGAAAGGAAGACACATTTAGCAAGGGAATTACCCAGCCACCCGGATTTTAATCTTAAAGCACACAATGACCACAAATAGCTGAGAACAGAAGACCTGTGCAGTACAGCCCCAAACGCCTGCTCCCAGCCACTCTGTACCTACTGGACTCCTCAGCAGCACTGGGTGGGTGGCAATGTCCAGCTTCAGAGTTGCTTCAAAGCAACTGTCTCCACTCAGTTGTCCCTCTGTCCTCTGTTTCCTCACCAAGTCCTGCCTGTCTCAGTAAGGAACTAGGCAAAAGCCATAATTCATTGGGTGTGGACCAGCATTTGAAAAACATTGAGAGAACAGTCCCAGATAACTCTCTTG